AAAAAAACAAAAAGTGAGTAGCCTATGTGTTCTTCCAGACTATCCTCTACACCTATGCCTAATTTCATCGAAATCCGTTCAGCCGTTTAGGCTACAAACTCTAACATCTGTCCGTCTAAACTTTCACATTTTTATTAGTATGATTTTGTACCTTGTTAAATGTATACAGCTGACTGTACTATAAAATTATAAATACAACTTACCCTCATTTTAACACATTTATCCATTTCAGGGTCACTAGTGACACACAGCACGGCTCGCTTCAAGGGACAGTCTCTAACACCGAGTACAGCCTTCTCTGCCTGCTCTCCTACGTACTTGTTATTCAGTATGTGCTTTGATGCTTGTTCCTCTTCGTTTAACATACGGAAGTTTATTGTCGCGTCCTGATATTGAAACACAATAATATTTAGAATACAATCTAAGATTTGAGTGTGAAAGAGACAAGATAAGAAAAAAGAGAGAGATAAGAGACAGAAAGATTGAGTTGGAGAGTTCTGAAGATAGAGTGTGTTAAAGAGACAGTGAGTAAAAAAAGAAACAGTGTGGGTAAGAGAAATATTTACTTGTAGCAATAAATCAGTAGTCTCATTAGATACGAATAACTGGAAGGGCAGTTCAATGGGCTGTCCAGAACGATCCAGTCTCGCTTGGAATGGAGCTAGAGTGCTTACTCTGTAAACAATTTATGCATAATATTTATGGAATTATTAGAATTAAGAAAAAAACTTATCAAGTAAACTGTGTGTTCTAAACTGTTCTACATCAATCATCCATCCAGACTTTAACATTTATTATGTCTATACTAATATCTATATTTTGAATAGCCTTTGAAATTACTGAACTGATTTTAAAAAAATATTCACTGTTGGAAAGCTACACTATTCTTAAATAGGGTTTATTTAATCTGTACTTATTATAATAAAGCTTAAACACACACTTCTTCGTTGCCTAATATGTCAGCAATTATAGCATATTTTAGAAGAATACTTTTTTTTAGTAAAAAGCCCTACACTTACGTTACGCTTTAGGCTTTTATATATTTTCACGCCACTTAGGGAGTAAATATTTTAGATAAAAATCCTAATGTGGGAAAGAGACCATAAGTTGCTGCCAACATCAAGAAAACAATTGTCATTTGTGCATTTAAATTTTGCATTTCATGTGGATGAACCGCACTGGAAAAGCTAGTACTAGATATTTGTTATTTAACAAACGGAACTTCAACGGGAAGAGTATTAATAGGACAGATAGAATATCACACATACATTGTATGTATCAAAGTACATTCTTTGAGGTGGATTGCTAGTAAATCTATATCTATACTAACATAATAAAGTGTAAACACACTACTAAGTTATGTAAGATGTCAGGAATCAAAGTAAGTTTTTGAATCATTATTTTAACAAAAAATTTAAACACTATTAAACTTAAAGGGTAAATAAATTGGAAAAATCGCCATAAACAAGGACAAAAACTACAATGCTGCCAACAGCAGCAATGGAACAAGGTTGAATGTCAAGGGTCTTCATTGTCATTGAAGTATTCGAATTCAAACAATTACAATTGAGAGTTTTATAAAATTTAAACAAATACAGATTTTATAATGTCATGCGGATAAAGCGGGTCATGAACAGCTATTACTATTTGTAAACTAGCTTTCGCTCGCGGCACCGTCCTCGTGGAATAAAAAAACAAAACTAGCCCATATGTTTTTCCAGACTATACTCCACATCTATGACAAATTTCATCGAGATTCGTTCAGCAGTTTCTACAAACTCTAACAAACATCCATCCATCCATCGAAACTTTTGCGGTTATAATATTAGTAAGATACACATTTACCTGTTAGCATCATTATCTTGCTTATCATCATTAAATCTGTTTCTTCTGTATGGGTCGTATGGATCGTATGGATCTCTTTCAGTGGAGCTGAATGGATTGCCATACATATCGCGGTTCTGTTGTCCGAATGTATTGTTTGGATTCTTGTTATATGGATTGGGTTCACCGTATAGTTGCACCATCTTTTGTAGAAGGTTTTGATAGCTGTGGAACAAGAAAAGGATTATTTCACACAAGCAAAAACAGCTTGGAACAGAATCTTTTATATAATAAACCTTGGAAAAATATCTATACTAATATTATTAAGAAGAAAGATTTTTGTATGTATTTTTTTATTTCACTCGGGCGAACATTTAATAAAATTAATACGCGAAAATCTTGGCACTGCCGTGCCCCTAAATGTGAATTTGAAAACTTTTACTTTTATTTTTTTAATTACCAAAAAATACGGTCATGTAACATCTTATACAATCTTAATTGTGCAGTCCAGTTATTTCTAAATTGTGTAATTAATTAAATTTGAAACGAAACTATGATTTTTTCAATTTTCCACCTACAGGAACAACATTATCAATATCAACAATAGATAACTGTACATATTTTCTTATAATTAAAAAAATGTATAGTACCGTTTCCTTTGATCCTGTGAGGCTGCACTGCTGGTTACTACAGCATCAGCGGGGATGCGACCCCAATTACACTTCTCCCATGACGTCACAGGGGCGCGCGATCCATCGCGACATATCAACTCGAAGCTAGCTTCACTCACACCACCTGAACATATGTTTATCTCTCTTTATTCAAAGGGAATGAAAGAGATGGCAATATTGCCAAATGTACTATGTCCCTTTCTAGCATGACATATGTAGTATGTGACTTCACCTAAGATCCTTCCATATCGTGTTTTTAATCATTTTTTAAAAAATAAAAA